GAAAACATGACGACTCAACTTCTGAGCTGTGGTCATTGTGTTTGTCTTTGTGGTCAGTTTGTGTTTCTTTCTTGTCAGTTTGTGTTTCTTTCTGTTCATTTTGTAGATAAAGATCTTTTTTTTCTTTCATGGAATACCAAGAAGAAAAAAACGTAACAATAAAACGTCTTATCCTTACATTCTGTGTCTCTTTGTAGTCATTTTGTGGATGAAGACTCACAAGTATTACTTTTCTTGACATACAACCTTTCGTGTTTCGTTGTGGCAATTTGGTTTCTCTTTGAGGGCATTGAGTGTTTCTTTCTGGCCTCTTTTTTGTCACTACTTAACGTGTTTTTTGTGTCTCTTTGTGGTCATTTTGGGTCTCGTTTGGACAGTTATTGTTTTTTGGGGGTCATTTTTTATTTCTTCGTGGTCCTTTTGTCTCTTATTGGTCATTTGGTATCCTTTTGTGATTACGTTGTGTATTTTTGTGGTCATTTTTTGTTTCTATTTGGTCATTTTCTGACACTTTGTGGTCATTTTGTGTCCCTTTTAAAATGTTTTAATGATCAGGTAACATTTTATTTGGTTGTGTGTTCTTGTGGTCATTCGTCTGGCTTTCTATGATAATTTTGTACCTGTTTCATTGTTGGTGCATCTCTGTTTAAGTGACATTTTGTAGGTTCTGTAATCCATCCATGTGTTGAAAAGCTTGCATGCCTTTGTCTGTGCTCAAGAGGAAAATCTAGCAATACTAAAATCTGATTTAACGGGAATTTCCCTGGTTAGTTTCACTGTTGTGTAAATCATGTGGTGGCAACAACACTCATTTCTAAATGAACGCAATGTGGAAATGTTCAGGTTGTTCATGTAAAGTTTAAATGCATCCCCTGATCATTAAAAGCAGTTTACATCATCTCATCTCCGGAAATCCTAGTCCCCCACATTCACTTTGGTACATTTACATCATGCCAGGTCCTGCAGAGATAGAACAAGAGTAATGCACATGGTTGTAATTACCCAACTTTGTTAATCTTTGTCTTGAAAACTGGCCGAAGACATTTCAACAAAACATGTGAGCTCTTTAAGGCTCGTTACAGGGACTTGGAGCAAACAAATAAGAGTATTTCCAGATTTGTCTAGTCACAATAATGCCTTGCTGTCTAGAATCGAGGATTAATGATGCTTACGAAGACCTGTTTTTGTGTAAGAAGAGACAGAAGAGGCGAGGGTTGCTGTCCCGGGAAAACACCAACTGTGCTTTTAGTTTTCCAAAGAGGAAAAACTCTGAAATCAAGTGATTCCTCAGAGGTCCTTTGAGGGATTAACTGTAGTCATCACTGTCTGAAAAACTACTCCAAACTTCAAATGCTTAATTGGTTTCCTTAGCTTTGGTTATTCTTTGACGTGACTGCAGACATTATCCAACTTGCATGATGTTGAGTATACATGGTAATCAGTGATGATCAACAAACACTAATAAAAACTCTCTTATTCGGTTCAAAACATCACATGGTTTTTCATAAGAGATGTGAGGAAAGTAAGTTTATGACTATGATTGAACATGTGTAGAAGAAGAAGAAGAAGACGACAGCCTTCACGTGGCCTCCTCTGTGAGTAGCAACAAATGGTGCAAGACCAACTTGCGAAACGAATGTCGGCAACCAAACGTCGAGCTGGTAGGCCCTAGGAACGGCGGACGGGCAGTCGTCCCGACCGTCGATAACCGAGGCCTGGCAGGGTTTCAACTCAACTCAAAAAACATGTGTAGGGTCAAAAGAGTAGCATCAAAACAGCTTTGTAATAAAGCCATACTTTATAGATCCCATTTCTCCAGGGTTTAGGAGTAAACATACAGATGTTTGACACTTTAGCAGGAAGTCAAGGTCTTAAAACGTCATCCCCTGATTGTAAGATGTTTTTTCTTCACAATCTCTCATAAAATTCCACAATGTTGCCGCACTTCTTTCAGGGAAGTAAGTTCAAGGGGCCTTATTGTGCTCACTTTCAGGTCCATATTTGGGGAGTGTGTGGGAGAGAAAATCCCTCTGAAGGGAACACAGGGATTTTAGACTTTGCAGACCATTTACATGCACACAAACCTGTATAACACACTACAGGAGAGGGAGAACCCCACGAAGCACAAGAGGGCCTCTTTAAATTAGTCTAAAGACCTCAAACTAAATAAAACGCTGATGGTTATTGTCAGACAGATCACAAGTCAACTTTAGGTACATTTGTTAACTCCGAGATCACTTTCAAGAGGTGGTCTCGCACTGTTTGCATTACAGTGGGAACATAATCCAACACAAATCCCAACCAATTGGAGGAGTTGAATTAAAGGCGAGGATTATGGGCTGCCTTCTTTAGTGGGAGGCTGTGGCTCAGTGGATAGTGCGCTGTACTTCGAATCAGGGGGTAACAAGTTTGAGTCCCATTGCTCCTGTGGGGATTGCCCACAGTACTGAATGTATGTATGTCGCTTTCGGTAAAAGCGTCTAACAAGTGAAATGTAATGTAATGTAACATGTGTTGAGATGGACAAAGGTAAGTGACAGGTTCACACAAGGACTTACTTCGAAGTGGCATCTGAGCTGAAGAGAACAGACGGAACATGCTAAATAAAGTCCACAACAATGGCAAAGAACATTTAATTTTGAATATACTTTAGGAGATGCGGTATTTGTGCGATTGGTCGATCAGTGCAAAGGAAAAAACAGCAATATTTCCAAGGGAAAAACCTCCTAATTTCAGCAACGTTTTTATTTTTTTCTTCTTTACTTAGTGCACTGTGAAAATTGAAAAGACAACATCGAAAACAAACCCAAAGTATCAATTTCAGTTGAACTACTGGCCAAAAGTAGTACTATTAAAACGCCTTAAAGGTATCCTATCACGCTATTTTTGGGCATATATTATGGGTCTCAGATATATACAAATATATAAAAACATGTCTATGATGTGTTTTGCTCAAAATGCCAAACACATCATGCATTTTAGACATCCCTCATATCCCTCTATTCCAGCCCTAAATCAAACATGTGAGGAGGCGGAGCTAATGCCTGCTCAGAATTCTACCGTTTAAATTCTGCCGTGATTAAACACCATCATGTTCCAAATCACATTAAGGAATATTTCTGAAACAGTATGGAGCTCAAATGCTTTTTCTCTTGCGGGTTTACCACAAAGTGAGTTACTTTTTTCATTTCCTGCTTCTTTATAGATAGGTCTCTCCAGTACAGGTTAGCTCTGAGTGTTAGCGATGCTTGCTAATGTAAACAAAGACCATATTACGTCCAAAACACGTCAGGGATTGTTTCTGATAGCAACGTTTCTGATAGTGCCGTGGGTCCACATGTCTGATATGACGGACGCAAATCTGGATCAGCTCCGTTGTAACCCCGTTTTTTTAGATTTGGGTATGGAGGAAAAGAGAGAGGGTTTTGTTTTCTGACGCTACGTGAGTTCCCTGACACACCGCGGACACATATGTATAAAAGACATCAAAAAGTGCATTTTGCATGATAGGTCCCGTTTAAGACTTGTTTCATATTAAATGAAAGTCTATTTGAATACCTATCCTCTTTTATTGATTAATTACCCTACATTTACTGTATGAACACTTTTGCATCAAGAGGACGCACCGTTACTTAACCTTTTGCTGTCTCTAGAGCTTTCTAAACAGTTGCTTTTTTTAGTTGAGAGTGGTGAAATCAGCACAGTGGGCAGAAACACTTGGGATGTGCTCAGCTGTCCTCACCCATATACCACCCAGCTGGCCACACTCTCTCTATGTGAACTTCCTATCAGCACTTGTGGCAACAAAGCACAAGGATGTGTCAATCACAAGAGGCAGTAAACAGCAGGACGATTTGAAAAGCAAGCCTAAATTTGTCATACTGTCTGTGACACGGCAACACAGCCTGTATGCTCTGATGTTAACTCCATTTACAAACACACTGATCTGTAATGAAAGTGTGTTGTGCTTAAGTACACTCACATGTAATTACTCTCACAAGCCATCATGACCTCTTCCCCTCACAATAGATAATGTTAGTCACCCTATTTGTCATTATTAGCCCCACAGCATGAATGCTTCTCAGAAAGCATCCTCTCTCTGGTGAGAGTCTTTTTTCCAGAGGGAGGAGAAGTACTCAGATCTTGTACTTGAGTAAAAGTAGAAGTACCAGAGTGTAGGAATACTCTGTTACAGTAAAAGTCCTGCATTCAAAAAGGTACTCACGTAAAAGTAGAACAAGTATTAGCATCTAATATACTTTAAGTACCAAAAGTAAAAGTAGCCATTGTGCAGATTATTCCATTTCTGAATAATATATGATATGTGTTATAATGAATGATCATTAAAGTGTTATCATAGCTGGTAAAGGTGCAGCTAGTTTTAATGATACTGCAGATAGCTTGTGAATTTACTCCAGGTGGAACTAAAGTCTGATTCAAGAGTTGATTATATTTCACATCATTAATCCAAATCTGTAAAGTAATTAAAGGTATTAATAACATGTAGTGGAGTAAAAGTTCACCATTTACCTCTGATCTGGAGTAGAAGTACAAAGTACATGTCTCTCAAAATGGTGCTTTAGTAGAGTACTTGAGTAAATGAACTTATACTTTACTCCACTGAGTACACCTCACATTTAATTACTCATCATGACCTGTTCCCTCCACAATAATGTTAGGTACCCTGTTTTCATTATGTCTCCACAGCATGGATGCTTCTAAGGAGGCATCAAAGATCCTCTCCTCTGGTGAGAGCCTTATCTCCTCACTGAAGTAGCCTGAAGGTTTTTGTTGCAGGGTGATGATAGTGAAGCCTGTTAGCCTCAGTGTGGAGTTTAGCTGTTGGCCCCTGTTATAAGAACTGTAGGAGTCTTGAGGAATGTGGGTTTGTCCTGCAGTCCGTTCCTACCCCCTCTCTCTCCCCCTGTCTCTGCCTGTGTCCCCTCCCCTCTCCCCAAACAGGGCATTTCCCTAACTTTTCCCTTTTTCTCACAAGGCTATAGTTCAATATTCCATTCTGGGGCACATATCCTCTCCCAAAAATTCCGACTCTGGGCTCCTCGACGCCGAGGCACTCCGCTTTGTTGCAAGGTATTGTGAGCCTTACATTACTGTTATCAATGGCTTTGATTGTGACTATTGTTCCAGCAGCCCGTGGTTAAGCGGGGATTATCTCTCTATGCATGTCTGTTCTGGAGAGGTAACGGTCTAATTAGGAGATTCAGATGCAGGGAGGTGGATGAAAAGTTCTTAATGCGCGGGTGGAATTGCACTTTTACCGGCTTTTTTAGCAAATGCATGGTAAAATCCCCGATAGACTAGTCACGTTTTACTGTTTCATTGCTCGCATGTTGGAGTTTGGAATTACCTTTCGTGGAAAGAAAATTCGGTAAAAAATGCAATTACTGATTTCCCATTTCGGTTTTACTCCCGGTTTCGCTGGAGAAGCTGATGTTGCGTTTTATTCATTCATAAAGTCGCGCGGAGCTGCAGAGAAATACTGCAACAAATATATAGAAAATGTGTATTTTTGTCATTTTGAGATCGAGTTTGGATTTTGTATCCTTTTCCAATGTAGTAGCTGCACTTTATGACTGTTAAGGACATGACGTGTGTTTCTAAATATTGCATTTTCAGTAACTGCAACACACTTTTGCATCTCCTAATGTTCCTTTAAGCATGTTAAATACAGCTGGGATTTTCAAGTCACTCTTCGATTACAATGGATGTGTTGTTAGTGAGATTTGGGGATGAGTTGATGACCAGATTCTGCAGACTGGAGGCTTTACCTGCCTTTTTCTGACAGCACTGTGAGGAGAGCTGTCTGTAATTGATCAGGCATTTCTTTTGTTCCGCATTGATCCCGCCTACATTCACTTCTCCTTCTGCTGCCAACTTTTTTTCTCTTCAGTGAACTTTTTTCTTTTAATAACTCCATTTGAAGCTTAATTGGCAACGTCTATCCACTATATTACAACTCTCATTAATAGTGTATGATTGCAGTGATTAGAAAGTTGAGCAAGATTTGAGATAGAGGCACAATGAAGTACTTTTTCGGATAATGACATGCAATTTTCCTAACTTAAGTATCTCTTAATTACCACGTCTTGTCTAGTCTTGAATCACTTCTGTCTTTTCTCTGCATGTTGGAGTAAGACAATCCTCTATCTGTTATCTCCCTCTAAAATGAAACTGAATCAGCAGGATGAGAGGCCTTATTTATTGTCTTTTTTCTGCATCCACCCCAGATATATAGACTAGTGTGGTTGGCCCCTTGGCTGAGGTTATATATCACTAGGGGCCCACAGTTATACACTATAGTGGTTCATAATGAGGTGGAGGAGAGACAATAAACCTGAAGGCTGTTTCATTCAGATGAATGTTCTTCCAGGTTAACACACTCAAGAAAAGCTTGTAGGTCTATATAAACTATGTTTGGGGTTGGCAAAGAAACCCAAACTCCATAAATCTTGAACAATAATAGGAGCAATGAAGTTAGTGTCTTTCAGGTTGTGTATTTGGTTGTTGTTTTCTCAGATCGTTGGTGAGGGACATTTTTAGTTTGATTGATCTTACCTTGATTTTACCTCACCACTTAACTCCCTCTCTGGCTCCCTCTAGGCCAGGGGTGTCAAACTCAAATACACAGTGGGCCAAAATTAAAAAATGGGTACTAGTCGAGGGCCGGACTGGTTCAATGTTTATTGCAGAACTTATTGAAATGAACTTATTGCACATATTAAACCTGGAACTAACAAAGCTTAAATGATTGCCTATAAAAACAACATTAAACATTAAATAATCAGTTGCATTCATTTCTTATGGCTCTATCTGCAGAGTGATTTCTTATGATTACATTTTTCCACAGGCCAACAAAAAACAATTCCCCTCAAAGAACAAACCAAACATGCCCTGTTGTCTCAAGAAAGAAAGTGCAGAAGGAAACATCCATTGAAACTCAGTGCTCTGATGCTAGTTCAAGCAGATACTTTGCATTTCATCTTGGGTGCAAGTTCATCAATGTTTGTCCACCAAGGGCCTGATTTGGCCCCCGGGCCTTGAGTTGGACACATGTGCTCTAGGCAGACATGTGTGATTTAGGGCGGTGATCCCCAGCATTTTTGGCTTCTGACCCTTTAAATTCAAGCAATGCCTCTTTATGGCCCGTGGTAACAGTTTGCACCTATGAGATGAGAGCTTTGCCCCTTTTGTCTTGTATTAAATATGTTTTTCAGAGGCCCAAAGAGGCCAACAACAACTCACTATGCAGACATGTTTCAGTTTAAAACAGCTTTTGGGAGTTGAGATGATTTGTGTTTGCATTCACATCCCTTTTAATGTAAAAAAACAACATATTGAACAGCTCTGGGTCTCTGACATTGAACATGTCTGTGTAATCACTTTACAACGTCTCTCTGTGTAGTGTAGTCAGTACATACAGTATGTGGTGTCTGTGCAGTGATAAACCACTTATGGGACGGCTTTGAAGTGCTCTATAGTGAAAACAGATTGTTGTAACTCAGGGTTTTAACGTGTTTCTACGATTTCCTTGCATGCTCTTCTTTATTCACCCCACAACTCATATGCTTTCTCTTTTCTCAAAATAACCACCGAGCTTGTCACAAACAGAGAAATCAAATCAGTGGATAATTCCTTTGGAAACAATTTCACAACAGAATTGCAAGATGTCTTGTTCACAGATTTTTCAAAGCTCGGGAAATGTATGAGAATGGTTGAAGCTGTATCCTATGGTTAAACATGATTTGTAAGATCAATGATTCCCAACCAGGGATAACTCTGCAGATATGTGGACAGGTCGATTATACTTTTGTTACAATAACCTGTAAGCCGCCTGTTAACCTAAACTATTGATACCACACAGAAATCATGTGTTGCAAAAGGAAAATGCATAGACACTAGCTACCAGCTCAGCCAAAAAGCTTTAAGGAGGATATGAAATAAATGGAGATCCCAGGACGGATGGACGTGCAATAGAGGTCATGTGTACAGTATAAGGGAGGCTGTGGCTCAGTGGATAGTGTGCTGGACTTCAAATCAGAGGATAGAAAGTTCAAGTCCCACTGCAGTCAGCATGTCGCATCTTCCAGGCATGGCAAAAATGAATGGAGCCTCGAAATATGGAAACAACATGGAATCTGCAAAGAAAATGTGCTGAGGCTTATTTTATTCATCCGAATATTTCCGGTTTTTCTGCGATAACAAAACAC